GTCCATCAGTAGGATATGTCTAGACTATTATTAACTGGATATGCACCAGCAACCAATCAAAATCAGACATTCAAAATGATAAAAATTTAAGAGTTCAAGAAAAATATTCATCATGTTCTCTAGGAATCTGTGATAAACCCAATTCTCTTCCCATTTACACTAATGGAATTGTTAATTTTCAGTTAACTTGCTTTTGGATTGAATTGACATAAATAACAAGAAAATGAAGCCCATTTGTTGCATAACACCTGTGACAAAATCAAAGGTTAACTGTCCGCTGCTGCGCAGGGGCCTCAGTGATAATGTTCTTGGCTTTCTTACGCTCTCGGAAACTTGAGAAGTGGGAGGGAGAGCATGTTGAAAGATTTAAGAAGTGGCACAAATATGAAGTTTTCCTGCCAAAACAAATATATGGGGATTTGCAACATGTCTGGACTTGGGCCAGACAGATTTTACAGAAAGTTCATTAATCTACATTCTCGCTTACACAAGCCTATATGCTAAAATGCTGTCATAAGAAGATCTTTAAAGACACATGATTTAACAGTGGATAATTTTGTCAGCACCCTTACCCACTTGAAATACACTAAAATATATTTATTTGCTCCTTTTGGTTTCTTTTCTATGTCTTTTATATGTACTTGAACTTTTTCATCTATCACTTGATGACAGGCAACTGACATCTGCAGAGACATGCCTGGATCCAGGATAAAATAAATACTGATTTTTTCAGAAATCCAGAAATGATATTTCTCACCAGAAAACCCACAGTTTTAAATGAGACTGCATTTTTCAGTAAGGAAAAATTATTATTAGGCAATCTTTTAAATACTAGTTCTTTCAAACAGAGAAGTTAGTTTTAAAGACTTTAGAAGTCTTTAAACAACAACCTTAAGCTACAGAATTTGAAAATTAATGGCCAAGAAGCCTGAATTTAAAAACATGCTCTTAAGTAAAAAATAGAGGTGAGATTAGTCAAAAATCTGCAGGACTGTTGAGGACAGCATCCTATACTGACAAATGGAAAGGTCTCATTTGTCACTTTTATGCAAACAACAAAAGAAAAGCTAGGTCTTTTGGTAGTGCTACAGGTTGGTGTTCTAGAATTTGTATTAAATTTCCAATGCAGCTATTTAAGAAGAAAAGCTCATTTAAATCTGCATAGGGGAAGTACTGAGTGATCTTCTGCTCTGTCTGTATAGATCTTCCATTAATTTTACCAGCCAAAGAATTTAGATCTGCTGGGTGCCTTTCAGGATGCGGTTTTCCCCCAAATATCTGAGTGGTCATAGCTGAGATCAACAGAAAACTCTGACTGTAATACTGCCAGAGCTGCTTACGCCTACCGGAAGTCACTGAGATTTATTCAATGTAATTTGGGGTAAAAGGGAGCTGAGTGTGTGTCAGGAGGTACAAAATAAAGTATTATGCTGTTTTCATAATTACCTAATTGGGCAAAATAATTCCCCCCTGCAGGGTGACGCTCTCATGCTGCTCTAGCAAGGAAATGCAAAAGAAAATGAGGAACTGTTTTCTGAATAAACTTATTGTCTTTATTATGTTACCGTTTTATGCTATTAAGGTTATTGCATAATTACCCACTTGTTGTGAGTACTAGTGTCTTCTTTTACATGTTTCCTGCTCTCATAGTTCTTGTAGCATGGGACCACCCCAGGGGAAACCTTAGTCAAACATTCCTAATGCTCTAATGATGCCAGAAAGTGCTTTTGTCCTTGGCAATCAACCTCTCTGCTAAATTTCTTAGCATTTAAGGCTTGTTTATCTAGTGGTCTACAGACACGTTTCCATAGTTGGTATCACTAACGGATTGGTGGTAGACAGCAGTAAAATACTTTGATCCCAGTCCTCAGGTGCTGTAAGTTGCCAGAGGCGGATGGCTGAGCTGTTTTCACTGATGATCAAGCAGTTTATAGCAGATTATTATAATTAAGCACTTTTGAAGTGCCAAGTTGTATGAAGCTCTGGCAGGGTTCAGGATGTAGAACTCAAATGAGATTTATTAATATTCTCATTGTTATATTACTGTTTATGGAAAGTTTTTCTGCACATTCAAATTTTTGCTAGCGAGTCTACTCCACTTTGGAAAAGCCCATACAGGGAAATCATCAAGAGTTAAGAACCAGTCGTCCTTCCTGACATAATCTTAATGTCATGTATTCCAAAGCAAACCATGTGATCTACAGTTCCCAAGAGAGTTTTTTAGCTAGCGTTATCACTGAACCAGGGGTATGTGTATCACTTTGCCAGTGCAACATGAGAAATGGCTTAGCCAAACATCAGAAGAGCAATTCTGAGCGAAGCAGTCAGCACACTGCCGAGGGGTTGGGGAAGCAGGCCTGGGAAGTGTTTCCTTGCTGCCCTTCCTCTTCCCCTAACAGGCTAACTACGTTTTTGGTGCCTCCAAACCACAGACAAAATTAAAAAAAAAAAAAAAAGCTTGAAGCTACCTTTGCAGTTCTGTGTCTAGGGGTTACTGTAAAGTCACTGAACTCATGAGGCACTCTTTGTTGATCCTTTAAGTAATCCGCTCACGGATAGCTGGTCCCTCTTCTCCTGCATTTCCAAGAAGCACGGCTATAACTAGTGCTTATCCAGGCTGCCACCCACTGCCCACCACTGTCTGTCTGGAGCACCATGCCCAAAATTGCAACAGCAATTAGGAGAGAGCTGAAGTCAGCAGCCCAGAAAAAAGCCCAGAAAAGAGCAAAATCCAAGCCTAAAAAGAAGAAGAGGAGAACAGGAGACCTAGGTAATGTTACGTGAATTGGCCTGTCAGATATGCTTCCAGCTAAGCCGGGAAAACTATTGATTTAAGCTGGTAGGCTTCAATGGGAAAGGAATCCCAGGACGACAGAAGAGCGAAAACATTGGAGAACTGAATTTATTCATTTCTAATTTGGACAATTTAAACTATACTCATTTTTCACAGGCCAGCCTGGAACATGACGTAATTGAATTTACTTACTGGTTTATTGGCCATGCTCTTACTGAGAGGAATATAGGTTGGAGAAGTTTTGAAAAAAGAGTATGTGAGCCTAAAATAGTGATCTCAAAAGAGGGCCCCTTCCCCCCAACTTTTTTGGTTTTACAGCATGCAGTGACAAAAAAGAAAAAATTTGAACTGCAAATAAGTGCGTGTGAAGGTGACATTCACATTATCTCCCCCCACCTTTCCGCCCTAAAAATCAGTTTTCAAAAACCAAAATTAATGTACATTGAAATGGTTGGAAGAAAAATGAACTCAAAATGTTAACATCTATAAAATGTGCTGCAGAAAATAAAATGTAAATAAATACTGTTTTGACTCCATTTATCACTAGCCCTGTTACTAGGAACAAAATGGGAGAAATAGTCAGCTCAAATCTTGAAATTACTAGATAAACAGATTTTTAATAAAAATAGACTGGGAAGCAGTCAGAGAAGCCTTACAATATGCAGATTTGAGCTACCATCTCTGAAGATCTCATTTACTGTCTCTGTATTTGTGATACCCAATAGAAATGGATTTGTAGAGTGAAAAAGGTGGTTCTGAGCACCTAATGTCCTCACTATACATATTGCAGGGGTTTGGCTTTGAACTAGCTCTAGTCTGGTCCAGTGAGCTGAGTGCCTGTTACTGGTTGGATTGTTTCGTTTCATCCAAAAGCAACTGAGACGGTATGTCCCAAGACTTCCCTGTGATGTGAAACCAAGCATGATACCTGGAGGAGAGCAAGAGAGTCAGTTCCAAAACAAGCTCCAGATATGAGATAAAATGCTAATCTATGCAATGCACTTAATAATGTGCCTGTACAAGACAAAGCAGATCACTTATCCACCTTCTCTGCATATAACTAAGAGGAATAATTTAAAAACTTGCCACCTGCCTGACATTGCAGAAGCATGACAAGCACTTAACATGCATATATAAGCAATTCTCAATATGGATGAAGAAAGTACAGGGATGCTTGATTCCTGTAAGCTATTGGAATATTTTGGTATGCAGTTACAGTATTATCATCTCAGTTATTACAACTTCATGGTAGTCTAACTCATTGCTATCAACAAATCTCGGAGCTTCAGGAAGGCCACATCTAAAAAAGAATTTAAAGCTTCAACTAAATGCATCATTTTATAAAATTACAACAATCTGAAAAAAATGGGCTGTAGTGTGAGTGACACTTTATGTTTGCAGGTTTAGAGGGGATATGAAATTTTCTTGTATCAAAGCTGAAGAACAGTTCTGACAGCTGCAAATGTTCTCTGAATTAATTACGTGGTATTGGTAGAAGACAATGTTTTAGAAAAATCCATTTCTTCCTGTAGTATTGAAGCTCCTTGCTTATAAAATATTAAACAGGACTAAAATCAGTATGCTGCTTGAACCGGAAGAGAAAACACGAAGTGCACATAGAAATCCAGAAGCAAAAAGAATCTTTAGTTCCAAGAGTTATTACCAATAACTTATGATTTGGGGTAAATAAAGTGCCCTGGGACTGGGCCGACTTGTCTACTAAAATTCAAACCAGAAATTTGCATCTGTCTTAGGAAAGAAAATCTGCTTTCCAGCTTCATCATTTAAACCTCCAACCCATATTTGCAGAAGCTTTCTCCACTTCTGTATATAAAACAAACACTTCAAAGATTACATAAACTTGTCATCAGCTATTGTAAGCTCTCTGAATACCAACTGGCTAATCCAAAGTTCTGGTTGTCATAACTTTACAGATACAAAACCTTTCTTATATCTCAGTGCTTCCGTATATCAACTCTTAGTGAGCTAATAGGTTGTGTAATGTCAATACAAAGCCAAGAGACGTGCTCTGGCTTTGTATTTTTTAGCTAGCAGGGAGAAGCACTGGGTAAAATTATAACAGGAGACTTTAAAAAGTTAAGTTCAAGCCCACCTGAACTTCACAGGTTGACTGCTTAACTATGTTGTTCACTGTGCCCACCTACAGAAGTGAGAGAAACCTGAGAATCATCTCCGTAAAACTTACCTATGCACTCGACCTTCTGAGATCTCCTTAGGCAAGCAGTGCTTTCCCACTGCTTGTGCTGAAGCAAGAGCTGGCCTGAGGAGCTGCAGAGAAGTCCTATTGCTTGAAGCTCAGTGTAGAAACCCAGACAGCCTCACAGGCATTTATCTAGTGGAAGCCAGGGAGAGAGCATAGGGGAGGGAGAGATCAGGGGATTTTGCAAGCCTTGTCTGTCTGTGAAGGGTGAAAGCACTTCCCGTCAAAGTCTCAGGGAAAGTCCCAGCCCTTGTATTTACAGCTGAGGTGAAGCTGCTGTGGTTGCTTTTGTCATACTGGCACTGACTTGCCCCTTGGCTATCAGCCAGCACTGAGGTTTGGCAGCGTTCCTCCGCTCTTGGAGGACTAGCCTGAGAATTGCGTCAAGCAAGAATGTTGAAGAAGGGTAACAGCAACTATTTGCCTGGAAGGAGAGCTTCTCGTTTATGTCACTACTCTCTTGTGCCATTTCAGCCATGGGTAGGGACAATGAGAATGTCACATTGAGATGAAAGGAATGTGGCGTGGAGAAGTTGGAAATTACCTGATCTCTGAGATTGTCTAGATATTCTTGGCAGCCACAGCAATCCAATGGAGAAATGCATCTTTAAGGGATGGGCCTCTGGGAGGATGCAAAGCTTTTGATGTTACACATCTGCTTGGAATGGGACATAATTCAAAACAGATGCATTAAGCATCAAGAGATCACTGGACTGGGTCGTAGTCCAGATAGAAGAAAGGGGCTAAAAAAGTCCTACTAGCATTGAGATTTTTGAGATGTTTGTGAAACAAATTGAAGGGGATTTAAATAGTAGTGCACTCAAGATCTGCAAGCAGTGTCTGCCAGTAAAGAGGAAGAAAATGGAAAAAAAAAATGTTTACATCAGCTTGGTTTTGGAACAGTCAGTGAGCATAGTGTGGAGACTAACTACAAAATGCACTAAGCAGGAAAATGCTTAGAGAACATAAACCATAAAAGTAATTTCTAAAAAAAGGAAAGGATAGGAAAAAGTTGAAATCAAAATAACCTGTGACTACTCCAGGGCTGTAGAAACTCCATTTGAGAGCTTGAGTTCTACAGAAGAGATCAGATCATATTCACCATCCAAGACAGGAACAGCCCCTTTCACTTATGCACCATGACAAAGACACAAGCCAGTCTGATGCCTGGATCACTGAAGAAGATCCAGGAACTGAAAAGGATGAAATTACTTTGCAAGAGCTTGCAAGAGTCAGCAAGATGTGCATGGTATGGGTAAAGTGAATGACGACAACATACCTCACTCAGGATTCCTTACAGAAGCAATGGGCACAGAGGCAGTGGAGATGTTTGGAATTAAATAGAGTAGTATTTGTTTTCAGCTGTACACTAATCCATCAGCTAACATGCTGCCAAAAGTAGTGTTCTTACCTTTAAAAGAAAATCCATATGGAATGGAAAGAAGGACAGTTTACTCCTGGAACTTAAAATCATGGGGCTAGCCTCATGAATATATAGATACGTAATAAATTGAAAAAAGGGAAAAGTCCTATACCCTTGACATCGTCAAGGTGAGCTAAGCATTTAGATGCTATCTAAGCATATGAACTTAAAAGATGGCGAAGGAATTTGAAGCCATCTCCCAGTGGATCAAGATCTCCTGAATATTAAATAATGCAGACAGGACTGAGCTGTCCAACAGTTCTTATGTCTATGCAAGCCCTTGACATTGCAAGGCAGTGGTTAAAGGAGCTAGATACACTCATTGCTCTAAGATGACTGGAAGAGCTGACAGAGCAGTTCTTTCAGTTATAGAAAGGAAGGCTGAAACCTCTTGTTTGTCCATAAATAGACCCAAAGGAACAAAACAAGTCTGTTAGGCTACCAAGGGGAGATATGGTCTGTGCCAAACACCCCTCTGTCTTTGGTAAATCACTGGGCTCCCGGCAGGTATTCCTATTAGGAAAAAGAGAAGAGCCTGTTTTTGAACTTCCAGGAAACCTTTGTGGGCAGCACTATTTTCTCAGGCTTCTATTTAGGCTGTAGTTGGCACCTGAGGAAAAATATGAGACACATGAGAATGTATGATGCCATACAGTTTAGTAAGATTTATGCAGATGACTTTTAGATCATGAAGAAAAACGGAGGCTCAAAGCAGCTGTGGAAAAAACCTATGTTTCTGGGCTGAAGCTGGAAAAACAACACTGTAAATGCCATATAACAGAAATAATAACATACTTGAAAAAAGGTTAATGCACAAAAGGCCCCTAAATCACGGGAAAACATTTAGCAGCTTGTCTGCTCCAACATTATTTGGGAAATAGGTACCTAATGTAGCACCTTGAGAGTGCTATCAGGCAAAGATTCTCATTGATCTCGGATGCAGTTATTGAAAAAACTGAGAAATAGAAGGAGTTAATTAGAGATTTCAGACCTGAGAGTAATCATCCATGGAGGATTTCAGGGAAGATGTTGATATAGTCCTTTTAAACAGTGTGGTCCAAACAAATGATCCCAGTAGCTTATGAGTTAAGAAAACTTAAGTATGAATTCACTCAGCAGAAAAAAGGGGATTTGATCTTATTCGTGGAAATAAACAAAAACATATATTTTTATTTACTGAAGGCCAGTGCTATTTGAAACTGATTATAAATCATAAGAAATTACCTGGCCAATGGTTATTTTTTGTTATTTTTCGGTTATGAAGTGTGACTTGCAACTTGAATATAGTCTTGAAATTGCAAGCAAGGGATTTCCAGAGCATTTGACAAAAATGGAACCAAATCCAGAGAGAGATTTGTACATGTCACTGTTATTGCAACAATAATTACTGAGGATAAGAAGCTTCGGAGAACAAGTCATATCATTAATACAAGATTAAATTTAGCCTGATGGCTTGAGGATGTTGAACTTGACAGTACTACTGAGAAGGATCTTCCAAAGCATACATGTAGGAAATTTCAGGATTCAAAAATCTAAAGAAAAGTCCAGGGACATCTTGTACATGAGTCTCAGCTGCGCAATTGTGCTTAGAAAGAGGATAAGGTATATCATATATGGCAAATGAAGGCCATATCTAGTAAAAGAGTTTACAGGAAACAGAAAAACAGGAAAAAACCTGAATCCTGAGAGGATATATTTATTTGCACTTAATGTGTTCTTGTTCCAAACCATTATTCTCCTTTCTCTGAGACAGCCTTGCTATCTCTAGCCAAACCAATGCCCCTGACAAAAATACTCCAGAAAACGGTAGCATGTCAAATTTATTTAGCACGTGTGACAACAGGCCACAGTTCAGCAAATACGAGTTTAAGGAGGGAATTATGCTTTTAGAGAGGTTTTGTCAAGTCCATAAATTCATGGGAAAAAGTAGCAAAATACCAAGAAAAATTACTGTAAAGCCAATTCTGACTCAGACCTGGACCCACCACTTCTCAGTGGCACAACGGCACCCATGAAGCTTGGGTTGCCACCCAGTCAGCAGACAACTGGAAACAAAAGTTTGTATATTGATGTCAGACTCAATGAGAAGATACAGGAATACAGAGACAGACAAACGGGCACACGAGGAGACATCAGCAAGAGCTGGAGTCCTGGGAGCTGCTGAAGCTTCCCGAGCCATGCAACTTTAAGGCAGGAACAATGGCCTCAAATTGGAATGAGCTCCAGGCCAGCTCCAGGGTGTCAGAGTGGCTGCAAAGGTGGGCAGGGCTGCTGTGGTCCTTTCCCTTCAGGGAAGAGTTATCAACCTGTTAGTCCGGTCCACGCCATGGTACTGCTTTAACATTCTGTTCCCCCTCTCCCTTTCGCAGCTTCCAAAGGGAAGTACTGGCCCTCCATTACCTCTAAGAGCTTTGCTATGACTGCAGCTCTCTACCAACCACTGCAGAAATCTGCTCTTGGGAGATGTGTTTGGGCTCCTGGTCTTCTACTAAGACCTCCTCCAGACCTGGGAGCTGTTGGGAGCAACCAGGACCCCTGCAGCCACCAAGAGGTGGGAGCTCCTTGTTACCCTTCCTGCACAAGCTCCACCTCCATGTGCAGGTCGCCAGTCCTTCTCAGCATGCCAGAGGATGCTCCTGGTGGGCTTCACCAAGCTTTGAGACCTCTAAGACTGCCACTAGTGGCTCAAGGCCAAGCCCAGTGCATGCCATTGCACATGACCCCATCCCCCACCGTTGCCCCAGAAGAGCTCCCAGTGGAGTGCAATTGAGCCTTCATGGCTCCTCTCTTGTCTCAGGTGAGCCCCGTGGAAGGGCAGGCCTTACCCACACCTCGTCCTCAGACTTGCAGAGCTGCTGTTGCTCCCCAGTTCCCCTGGCTGCTCCCCACTGACTACTAGAACCACCTGCAGGACCGAGAGCTGATGCAACTCTGAACTACACTGTGCTTGGCATGCCTGTGCTCCACTCAGACTCCGTTTGCTCACCCTTGTATCACACCTAGCCACCAGTTGGTGGGAAATCTTACCCCTGTGAGGCACCCCAGGGCAAAGCCTCTATTGGATCTTATCTAAATGACAGAGCAGAGGGCATGGACATGTTCATATTGCTTTGCATGTGCACCAAGTGTGGCAAGCAGGAGAGGCTGGTGCACAGGTACTTCAGTGCTGTGAAGGAGGGCTGTGGTCTTTCTTCTGCGCCCCCCCCCTCCCCCCAGTACCTCTAACAGCTTCTGGCTCCAGTTTTCCTCTTATCTCTCTATTTTTGCCTCCCTCATCCAAGGCCCCAGTAAGTTATAGGACCTCCTTGTTGACCTCCTTCTGGCTCCCATCCATGTCACCAAAAAAAAAAGGAGCTGAAGAGAGATCCTGCAATGCAAGGGCTTGCCTCTGCTCCTTCACCCTCTCAAGTGTCCCGCCACAGGGCCACATCACCCAGCTCCCTTGCAGCCTGCTGTGAGCAGTGTATACTTGGGATTAAATTTTTGAGCCCATGACCCCCATAACCCTTCCTTTTTTGTTTGTTTGTTTGTTGTCCGCTATCATTAGTAGCCTGTGCTCCTTTTACCAGGAAAAATAGAGCAGTGGTGTTACAAAGCTGCATGTTGTTTGGAGGAGGTTGTTTCCCCAGGCTCAGAAATATTGTGCAAGAATAGATGACAACCTTCTAAAAAAACTTCAGAAGATAAAGAGAAGAAAAGAGGCACAGAGCCTGTCATTCTGCGCTAAAAAAACTCAGTCAGACAGCAAACACACATTGCGACGATGGAGTCCCAGGACACAGAAC